TCTTTTGAATTCTTATCATTTGATCATCAGAAGTATGACTTTGTTATGAAGTATTTTTTTATTAAAATTCTTTTTCCTCATTTCTAACTCTTTGAGATAAAGTAACATATGCTTTTGTTTATTGAAAAGAACCAAATAAAGTCAATGGTGTATAGTTATCAATAAACTAAAACATTGAGAACAATCTAAATAAATGAAAAGCTCTTTTACAAATGAGTATTGATAAAATACACTTTGAGCTGTTGTCACCTACTTAGAACGCCATTTTCCTTAGGACTTACAAGGAAACCACCTGAGGGGTCAAAAAAGCTTTTCGGTCGCGGATATAATAGTTAGACAGGGCATAGCTAGGAGTGATATACCTTAAGTTGGTTCGTGCGCAAGTTGAGATTTGGCTGAGATATCGACTTTTTACTAGAATTTCCTTATGGGATTCCATTTCTTCCATAAAATCCAAGTTTCGAGTTTTGACGTGAAACTTTGCTCATATCAAGGTCTCAACTAGAGTAGCTCATCTACAAAGTTTCAGAATTTTTAGACTAAGTATTCCCGAGATATGAGTCTGTTATCACAAACACACTTTTTACGGATATTGCTGTATACATAGAAGTTTAGAAAACATGATATCTTGAGAATGTTTCGACCAAAAATTCTGAAACTTTGTGGATGAGCTACTCTAGTTGAGACCTTGGTATGGACAAAGTTTCACGTCAAAACTCGCAACTTGGATTTCATGGAGGAAATGGAGTTCCATAAGGAAATTCTAGTAAAAAGTCGATATCTCAGCCAAATCTCAACTTGCGCACGAACCAACTTAAGGTATATCACTCCTAGCTATACCCTGTCTAACTATTATATCCACGACCGAAAAGTTTTTTGACACCTCGGGTGATTCCCTCGTTAGACTAGTCGATAGAGCTTGAGTTTATGAGTCTAGTGCACTTCACTCTGAACAAAAAGCTCAAACAAATAGAATGTTTGAAGAAAAATGACATTATATTAAGTTGTGGTAAATACTTGATGGCTCTAGTCAATTCAAAATATGCAGCAAAGTTACATTTGACTTCATTTTCCTAAGATTTGTGAAGATTTTGGCTCAGAGGGGATTTTTACCAATATCCTTTACAGATAAACTAAAAACTTCTAGTAGTTTTTACGTAGATCGTATTAGCGACGATTTTATTTTTCTTATTTTTGTCATGTATCATTCTAAATTTATTTGTGGTTTCTATTTACATAGAGAATCAGAACATACAACAACATCTTACAGTACTCGAATTTCTCTGTAGAAGCTGTAATTACTCAAAATGTTCGTCTTATCGATGTAATAAAAAGAATATTATTGTTTTTATTCTTTCATGCAGACTGACAATAATTAAAGATATTTCTATCAATCAATAAAATGTAACTTCGATGATTTGGGAAAAGATAAAAATTGATGCATCAATTACTGAGATGGTAGACAACGTAATGTTAAGAAGTTAGACAGGTAACAGTCCTAAAAAACTGATCCTAGATGTCGAAAGTTTTAAAAAATCTAGTATCTATTTTTATGCTCCGATGACTCAGACGATCGACTTATATCTCTAGATATGGAACCTTCCTAATATTATATAAATAGTCTAATTGATTTATTTCTTTTATTAATTCTAATAAGTTTGTTATATATTTTATCGAGCAACACAACTTTCTACTGTTCGTACTTTTCAGTATTTATATAATACAGAAAAGTTGATTGCTGTTGAACAGAATTGAGAATGAGTGTTGAGCCAACGACAACGATTGATTTGATTCGTATAACATGTCTTTGATAAACAATGATTTCTTTGTTATGAAATTTACAACATTTCTCTGGTATCTTTAATCTACAATATGTTTACATACATTTATTGTTTCTTGATGTAAAATAGTTTATTACAGGTATTTTTATGCTTTACAGTGATCGATCGATTGATTTGAGGTTACTTTGTTATTGTTTTTAAATAAACCATTGATGAGATCATCATCTTAGGAACAACGATTTTAACGTTTTAATATGGTATCAACACCTTAAAAACGTATGCTATAAAAGAAAATTTTGATATATATGTCACAGACGTTCGTAGTAAGACTGTTCATATTGAATGGAATAATCATCATGCTAAATAATGTATCTAGAGTATTGTAGCTAAAATTTTCAGTTCATCTAATAGTACACGCAATTAAACATATCAATTCAAAAATCTATTTATCTCGGTAAAGAGTTATTCAGATTTTGAAATATTCTGCTTGTATACAAAATATTCTCTTTTTAAAATTGATTTTAATCTTAGATTATAATAGTAATAAGATCAAAAGAGTTCTCTATAATTAATGTCTCACACTTTCTATCTAATTTACATGAATTTATACCACCCAAGCTTATTATAATTCTATTGTAAAACTCATGTGTTCTCAACTCTCGTTGATGTCAATAATTTTTATATAAATTTTAGTTTCTCAACAGATAAAATATCTGTTGATATTTAAAGTATCAATTGATATGTCTCATATGAATACCATTTGAATAAAGAAACAGAACAGCTGTTTATCAAATAATCTATCTTGTCAAATGAAAGCTAACGTTTTGCTTATCGTGTGTTATGCCATAGAATTAAAAATGAAAACAGAACATGTTCGACATTGATCGGACTGCGCAATGACGTCGAAAATCTTCAATGCAGTTTTCCAGAAAAGCTATTGTCATTCTCATCAACAGAAAACTAAGTAAATTCTTGACATATTCTTTCTGCAGTTATTTAACTCATGTCACCGCGCAATAAGACATGAATAGTTAGCGTTTCCGTTGAGCTTCTTGAACAGTTCATCTGTCAATACAGAATAAAGGTTTTTATTTCAAAAAAAAAAGAAAGAATTAAAAAAATGTCCACTGATAGATATATTCATGAATAAAAAAATAATTACATAAAAGATGTATTGTACAGGATTAGAAGAAAATAATAGATGTTTTTATGTGTTCCATTTCGACATCGAATTGAATCTCATCTTCATCTACAGATGAAACTAACGTTGGACTGCTTGTTGTGGAATTTGAGGTATATGGCTAGATTGCTCTATAAGACTATTTATGATGTTTTCTATATAAGCAGCCACATTCGATTGACCATGATCAGCATTAGCAAGAAGAGCTTCGGTATGAGCATCCATTTGCCAACGAAGAGGTTCATCAGAAAACTTTTTTTCTTTTACTCTTGTATTATTTGTTACCTGATTTTCTGTATGGAGTCCTCTATGGTGTTCTGCACATATGAAGATACATGCTACATTGGAATGTTTTTCAAGTTTGCCCAAAATGTTAGATTTATTTGAAGAACATATACAAACAGGAAATTTTATTTCTGTCGATTCCTGCAATGAACTTAATAAATTATCGATCGATTTATAAAATGTTAAACCATTAGTAGCATCTGAAGATTTGTGATTTCCATCAGAATCCAAAAACAGAATTGAATAAAATGTAGGTCGAGCCATCAAGGTGAGTATACAAGTATAGAATCTCGGCACTCTACTCTAACGCTTATTTTTATAGATTGATTCCAAAAGGAAGTAAAATAAGGCAAATAAATGTAATCGGAAGAGGAACAAATTTCTTGGGATTCTAGCTGTGCATATGTGTCATCGACATACATAATCCATAATAACTACTAAGTTGTGGCACCATGAGTCAGCTGCAATTTTCTCAGAATATTTTGAAACATATGGCTTTCTTAATGCATAGAATCAATATACTGATTGAAACCTTCCAACTTGCATCTATCATTAAAAAAACACTTCAAAATGATTACATTGTATGATGTCCAATGATTATCTTTATAGTTTGTTCATTTCATATTATCGAAACTTATCAAGACAATGAATTCATCAACTTAAAATGGTTATATGTAGAAATCATTTCCAGATATGTAAATTCATCAGTTATGATTAAAGCAAATTGATTTTCAAATATTGATAAAAATATCTTGATCAGTAATATCAATAAATTTGTCATTCTAAGATATTTCATGGAATTGTAACCAAACATATCTAATCCAATAATAAAATAAATTAAATTGGATTTAAATATTTAATAATTTGAAATGTATTTATCAATTTAGCTAAATTCAACATTAAACCAGTAAAATATTTCTGTAAAAATGAAAAAGATTTAAAGAAATAGTTAAATATTTTAAATGAGTTTTTCTTATTAAATTTAATTTTTGTTTTAATAATTCTTTTTCATTAATTAAATAATTATTTTATCATATTATAAGAAAATCTTCAATTGTTTTTTTATATTTTGAAAGAATGTAACAATTTGAATTAATCATTGTAAACTATTCCTATTAATTATTCATCTATTCAAATGCATTGATAGTAAAGAAAGTAATAATATTGTTTTTTAATTAGAACTCAATTTCAATGAAAGAGATAAATCATTCGTATTGTTTATTCATTATGGATTTATTTGATGAAATTATTGAAAAAATATTTTGCCGAAAATCTAAATTTGATATTGATAATTTGATATTATCTAATTAAGTTAAAATTAATTTTGCAATAAAATAGAAATATAATTGTTAATTCAAATATAAATATATATGTAGATAATATTATTGAATTAGAAATAATCAAATCTATGAAAAATAATTCCACAAATTCATTTGTATATCAATCAATATATTAACTATTTGATAAAAAATGCTTTTAATGCATAAAATGAATAATCCGAATATTATTCTTGTTAAATATTCTTTATTGAATCATGATCGACATTATTTTTTCTTTTGAAATAATCAACTTAATATTTTCTTAAAAACTAAGAACGAATTTACATTACATTTTGTTGTTTTGTT